AATATGGACAAAGCTAATCCCCTTAGTACTCCGATAGTTAATCGAACATTGGATGTTGAAAAGGATCCATTTCGACCTTGTGAAAAAAATGAAGAAATACTTGGTCCTGAGGTACCATATATGAGTGCAATAGGAGCTCTTATGTATCTTGCTAATTGCACTAGACCAGATATATCTTTTGCTACCAACTTGTTAGTAAGATATAACTCGTCACCTACAAGGAGACACTGGAATGGAATCAAGCATATATTCCGTTATCTCCAAGGAACAACCGATCTGGGATTATTTTACTCAAATGATAAAAAACATGAAATGATTGGTTTTGCAGATGCAGGATATTTATCAGACCCACATAAAGCGAGATCTCAAACTGGCTACGTATTCACGATTGGTGGAACTGCATTTTCTTGGCGTTCTCAGAAACAAACACTGGTTGCTACATCTTCAAATCATGCTGAAATCATTGCACTTCATGAAGCAACTAGGGAAAGTATTTGGCTCAGAAACATGACTCAACACATTCAACAAGCCAGTGGATTATCGAATAATAAAGATCCGACGGTGATATTTGAAGACAATGCAGCATGTGTCGCTCAAACCAAAGAAGGATACATTAAGAGTGACAGAACTAAACATATCCCACCAAAGTTCTTCTCGTACACTCAAGAGCTTGAAAGGAACAAAAAGATCAAGATTCAATACATCAGATCAAATGATAATGCAGCTGATTTATTTACTAAAGCGCTCCCAACTACAACATTCCGAAAACACGTCCATAACATCGGAATGAGACATCTTCGAGATTTGCACAGATGATTACTCGAGGGGGAGCATGTGCGGCTGTACTCTTTTTTCCTTATCTCGGTTTTTTTCCCATAGGGTTTTTCCAGATAAGGTTTTTAACAAGGCAGCATAAACGCACATTTAATAGTGATAATTCTAAGGGGTGGAATGTATCTGATGGCAATAAGATATAATTCCTCATGATGACTAGAAGACACTGGAGTGGCTGTACTCTTTTCCCTTCGATCAAGGTTTTTCCCACTGAGTTTTCTTGACAAGGTTTTAACGAGGCAGCACGTGGATACTCCACTAAAGATGATATATTTGAGGGGGAGAAATATTGTGCTTCAACAATGCTCAGGTTTTTGTCCCACCGGGTTTTCCTGACATGATGAATGACTAATGTACATTTTATAATTGTTAGTCCAAGGGGGAGTGTTGTAAATAATGGACTAACAAATAGTCATTTGTACAAATTAGAGTATGTTGTAAATAATAGACTATTGTACAAATTAGACTATGAATAGTACATTGTGTAAAAATGTCAAAGAAATGTGGCAAAATTTTGCCTATAAATATGGCTCAATTCATTGAGCATGTACACATAAAAAATCCAAGAAAGAAAGAAAGAAGAGAAAGAAATAAAGGAGAGAAAATTTAGTAAAAATTTGTCTCCGGTTTATATAATTGTGTTCTTTATTTTCCTAGTACTTATAATAGTTTGTAGTTTGTTTGGTTTTTAGTCTGCCTTGGTACAGTTCTATAGTCTTCTTTATGGAGTAGTTCGGTCTCTTTTTTGGAGTTTTTTTGTCCAGTTTGTTTGGTGTTTCGTAGGGTGGATCCATAGATAAGATGATCCTTGTAACCAACTGGATATCGATTATACTCTTTTTGAATTTAGTTATTAGTATATGCCATTCGAAAAAAAGGTTGTTTCAATGCACGTTAATTTGCACGCATAAAAGAATATCTCTTTACCACTCTATTCTTAATTTTGGTTGAGATTTTAGTAAATGAAGACAATATTGAACAAGTGACTGAAATGTGTTGGAATGAAAAGAAAAAGGTGCAGTTTAGTATATACCTATGCTAGCCATTGCTTTGTCCTCTCGCATGGGAGTGTTCTCACGTGCCAATTACTGCATGCTTTCTGCCAGAGAAGTCTGAGCCATTTATCTTTGATTTTCGAGTTTGGCTAATAAGCCTCTTCAATTCAAGCGCAGAGAGGTCATATAATCTCAAAGAAGTTTGAATCTGAGTAAAAAATTGAAAGCTCAAAGGGTTAGTATAGTTGTCTGCAAGTTGATCACATGAGGGAACATGTTGAACAACCATTTTTGCAGTTGCTTCTCTTACAAATTGTATGTCAAGCACTATGTGTTTAGTACGAGCATGCATAATAGGATTAGATGCTTAAAGCAAAAGCACCTAAGTTATCCACCCTAATCACATGAATGGTTTTAATGATCTTACTAGTCTCATTTAGTAAAGATTGTATCCAACTAATATATGCAGTTGCCTGAGCCAAACTTCTGTATTCAACCTCTGTTGGAATTGAAATCTTATTCTATTTCTTTGAACTACAGACAATTAAATTGCCAACAAGAAACACAATAGAACCAGTTGTTGACTTTCTATTATCTATATCACATGCACAGTCAACATTAGAAAATCCAATCAATTTTAAACTTGTCTCTTGTAATGTTCAATCCAAACTGTTGTGTTCATTTTAGATATCTCAAGATGCTCTTTAAATTTTTTCAATGTGTATCAAGTGGACAGGACATAAATTGACTCACCTTGGTCAATGACTCAACAATACTTATGTAAAAGTTTCATCAACTGTAGAGTCTCCGTTGTGCTTAAAAAGTCTGGAGGATGATACTATGAGAGTGGTATGATTGTCGTTTTTTAGCTGAGTACGGGATGAATCTCGACCTCGAGTCATGCCTCTCGAGGAAGGTTATTCGAAATCGAATTTAATGATTGATTCATGAAAAGGAAAAAAAAAAAGGTTGTAAACACTCTAATCGCAGTTTTGGTGGTTGATTTAGGCCAATTAATGCAATTGAAAGCAAAATTCAAACTTTAATTCACATAACTCCTCAATTTGCAATACGAAGGCAAATAAAGAGAAAAAGAACTAAGAACCCTAAGACCCTAGGTGGAAAGAAGGCACTCAAAGGTTCGGAAACATAAAATCAAGTAATCATCACTCCTGATGAACTAATTGAGATATCAATTTAATTCTCGCTCATACAATCAACAACAAAATCACATATTACCTACCCTCCAAGGATGATAGTCTATTCACTCATGAAAGTTCCTACCATTCAATGAGCAAAGATAAGAAAAACTTACGAGATCTTGAACCTTAAACTAAGTCTCAAAGTCTCTAGTAGTATTCACGAGTAGAAATCAACTAGAAAGTTGCATTCTTGATGAAGAAATATAACAATAAAAATTGTGTCTTGAAGCCCTTAGACAGAGAAATAAAAACCGAGAGACAAAGAGAGAAAAAGAGAGAAAAACTCAAAGGATATTTTTTTTTTTTTGCAAATAAGGAAGTATCCCCAAATTACGAGGGACTAAGTCCCCAAAACACACTAAAAACACACACATTTAATGAGAAACTTGCTGGGCCGCAAAACTAGGTTCACTGCAAATGTTTCTGCTTGGCTGAACGAGGCTTGCGTGGACGCAGATGGAAGTTTGCTGCGAGTATGCGCGTAGGCTGGGCTTGTTTTCTGCGCTAGAAAAATCCCATGCCAACTAAATAGGGTTCGCTGGTGAGTGTTGACGGGGACTCGCGGGCCAGCAAGCTGTTGTTTGCTGGCGAAAACTGGTGGGCGCGCAGGCACTGGGTGGGCCTCACAGACGAGCATAGGAGCGTCTCTCGACGATGCGCGGGACACTGCAAGCCTATGTGGGAGACTGCGGGCGTATGCAGGTGAGACCTGGACAACGCGGGCGCGAGTGTGCGAGCAACATGCACCTTCAGCGGGTGTTTACGCGCCAACACAACACTCACCTTGAGCTCGTTGGGCACTCGACTCAGCTTCTGGGTGCTCGGCTCAAGCTTGCCAGGTGCTCGGTTCATTCCAGGAAAAAATGTGCTCGTTCGGTTGAGTTTCCATAATTTTCGGATGAATCTCTCTTCTACGCTCGAGTGCAATTTTTTTACAAAATAAAAGATAAAAGATAAATGAAAAGCTCAAGACAACAGAATAAAATGAAAACATAAAAACGAGTAAAAACGACTAAATGGATCTGAAAAAGCCTAAAATAGACTAAATTGAGTACAAATAAAACACTCAATAAAATAAGATAACAACAAAAACATACAAAATATGGGACAATCTTTGGGATCTTCCATGTTGGTTTTTACCAACAAGTCACAAATGTATTTTTCCTGAGAAAGATGCAAACCTTGTGACGTGTTGTGTGATTCAATGCCAAGAAAGTGACGAAGTCCACCAAGATCTTTCATGGGAAAGATTTTGCTCAGATTTTCAATGATTCCCTCAATCATAGTTCATCATTTTATTGTGATTATGATGTTATCCACATAGATCAATATGAAGGTTTGCACATCCTTGTCAGTTTGTAGAAAAGAGAAGAATCAACAATTGAATTATTGAATCCTTGATCATAAAGAGCTTCTCTAATTTTTTTAAATCATGCTTTAGAAGCCTGTCTCAGACCATACATTTTCTTGTTCACTTTTCACACAAGTGACAGGTGATCATTGGAGAGTAGTTCAAAACCAGGAGGCTGTCTCATATAAACTTTCTCTTCTAATTCACCTTGCAGAAATATACTGCTCACATCCAACTACTTAGTTTTTCAATAAAACTTCACAACAAGAATAAACATTACTGTTATAGTAGTAGGCTTCACAACATGACTTAAAGTTTCTTTAAAATAAAAGCATGCAGTTTGAGATGAGTACTCATTTTTCTTTGCCACCTTCCAATTTGCATCATTTAGAGCTTCAATAAGTGATTTGGCTCATGCAACAAGAGAGTTGTGATGTTTTATTGGAAAACTAAGTAGTTGGATAGTAAATCCTTCTTTTGGACCTGGTGATCATAGAATGAATGTATTTGTCAGCAACATATGTTTTGTTCACATTATCATTTTGTTGATGAGATCCATTATTCAATATTGGCAGCTCAACTAATAAAGGAATGGTGGAATTTAAGTTGTTTATTTGATTAGATATAGAAGAGTGATGGGAACTTGATCAGATGAAGTAGATGATTTTGGTGATTTCTGCAAAATACTATTTAAAGGTTGAATAAAAGTATTATGACATGCATGTGAGAAATCAATTACACAAGGATCAACATTTGCATTAGGTGTGCATGAGAAGTGTTTTTAGTAGTAGAGAGTGAGAGTTTTTGGTTGTAAGGAAAACAATTTCATTAAATGACATCTTTAGTGATGATGATTGTCTCACTGGGCAAGAGGACTTAATAGCCCTTATGATAAATATTATAACAACTAAAGGTTATATGATCATACTTAAATTAGAGCATATGCTTATTGTAGGGTCTGGCAAGTGGATAACACAAGAAGCCAAAAGTTTTCAACATGTGCAAATTGGGTTTGTGACCATGAAGAGTTTCCGAAGGAGTATTATTGTCAAGTAACTTATTGTCAAGTAACTTATATAAAGCCCTGTTTGATATGAGATATCATACTTAAGGGAGTAAACCAGTCAAATAGGCAAAGTGAACTACCTGGTCTAACAAATTTAGATGGAGTGGCCTGGTCGAGCATCAGAGGGCGAAGAGCCTCTGATCTGGATGACAGTCTAAGGGATATGGGGCAGTGAGGACAGCTCGAGCGAGTATCTTCGGATGGTCTGGTCGAGACTCGACCTGTGATTGTAAAGGGTTGTTCGATTGACCAGAACTCAAACTCAGAATAGTCAGCGCTTTACTCAACATACCTAGAGTTGGTCGTACTATTAAGTGGTCTAATACAAAGGATTAAAGGATAAAAAGTAATCTTTAGAGAATTAAGCCCCCACATGGGTAAAACCACTTGGCACCACCTCATTGATCCACGCCTCATAACCATCTCTGATACATTCTGACAGATAGGTCGTACTATAGAGCAGCTCGGGCAGCTAGCTCATCAGATCTGGGCAGTCTTCTAGAAAAAGGTACCTCACCCCTATATATAAGGGTGAGAGGTATGATTTTACCTCATTATGTTCTATTTACCGTATACTTTCTGCAAATCATCTTCTACACATACTCATTTAAGCATCGGAGGCTCCCCATCAGAAAACCCCCTCCGGTGTGAGAGTTTTTACTGGTGTTATATACTGAAAGCTTGGCTTTGCATGTTATTACACATTTGCCCTTTATGAATGAGAATAGTGTTAGATTAAACAAGTTCTACGTTATGTTGTTCTGCACTTAGATAGGGTGGGTCGTCATCGGGCGAAACGAAGATCACTCTATCAGTTACTTGCGAACAAGAATAGTTGTTCACAACCTAGATGGACATGAACACCCCATCCGAACGGTTGTAGTATCAACTGTACAGTTTGTCTTGACTGATTAGTTGCACTAGTACATTTATGTATTGAACAGGATCCCAGAGAGGAGAAGTTCATTTTATACTGATCGTCGTAAATGAACTAGGCCTCGGTTAATTGCTGCGTTATCTTAACCCGTAAGATATTAAACATGCAGATATATATAATATATATTACTTTGATTCACATGGGTGAGGTTCAGTTCGCTGGATTAATATTCCTACTGTTTTGGGTAATATTTTTATATATAGGATGTGCTGTTAGGATATTTACGGTCACCATGTGTGTTAGTTTGATGATGTCCCCGGAGTGAGTTCATGAACAATTGTTATGCTAAACCCTGCAGGTGGATTATGTTTCGGCAAAATAAGAATGTGATGAACGAGCGCTAGCTTCGGTGAAATAATAATAAATTAATTAATTCTTGATTGTCAGTAATCGAATTAATTAATGGACATTATATCTTAAACGTGGGGAGGTAAATCGAGTAATTATTATTGGAGTCTCAAATGTAATTTGGGCTAGGAAAAGGGAGTGAAATAATATAAGGTTGGTGGTCCATTAATATTATTTAATTAATTAGAAGAGTGAGCTTGGCCCACAGTTAGTCTAATTAATTAAGGAGCCCTTTTCCTAATCTCCTAAGGGTCTCTACTGTAGCTCTATATATACATCATTAAGCTCATGAGAAGAGAAGACATCTGTCATTATACAAACACACGCCCCACGCCTCTCTCTCTCTCTCTAGATCTCATTCGAGCTTTATCTTCTTCTTGTTGCTCCATTGGTACAAGTTGAAGAAGGGTGTATTGAGTAATACAGTAGAAGATCTGTAGGTAAACCGAGACGAAATATATTTTGACCTACAGAACTAACTGGAAGTCCGATTGATACGTACAGCATACCCAGACGACCGTCTCGACGAGAGCTTTCCATCGCCGCCGAGATCACCGAAATCAGACGTCTCACGCTCCGCGGCAAGCACCCAGGCAGCAAAATTTCGTTTTGATATGTTTGCATCCGTTTGATCCGGTTTTGATCTGATCTTGTTCGTGCAACCCAAGACGTGATTTGCGGTCAATCAATTGCGGTCAACTGTTCGTGGTCAGCCAAATCTACATAAATTTTAAGCCGTAAGTTCTCTACGTCAAACCTTTAGATCCGCTGCGCATAGGTTTACGTTTGCTATTGAATTTGTGATTTGTACATAACGAGATCCTCACAGATCCTAACATAACGTGCATTATGTTGATGTGTAAAATGAACTACTGCAAGTTTTGGTACGTTATCATGCTTGTGTTTTGTGTCGATAAATGACGTGATTGATGTTAAAGTATGTATATCAATTTTTTAGATAATGTTGTGTGGTTACAGGAAGTTGTTGACGTCAATTATGAAGTGTATTGATAAAGTGCAACGTAGTGTTCTATAAAGTGCATCGGGATGATATATAAAGTGCATTATTTTATATATATTATGTGTTTTTTAAAATTATATTTAGTAGATTTAATTGTAAATCGAATTGACCTTAATAATTGAAATAATTTACAATTTATTATTATAAAAGTATATTTATCATTTTAATGTGTCATTTGTTTACCAATATTGTGCATGTGCATTTTTATGTACAAATATGATGCAATTATTAAATTTTGTACAAATTATAAATTTGACCCCATTGGCTAAATTGTAATATATTGAAATATGTAAAAGTACACTTTGGTCCCTTAAAATTATCAAATTTTCAAGAAAAAAACCCCACAATCCCAATTTGGATTTTATGTGATTGTCGGCCAGGGAGAGTGTCCAGCTCCGGTGGGTCCTCGCCGGCGGCGTCCGCGAGTAGAGATATCACACCGACCATGGCGCTGTAGACGGTTAGGGGCGGTCGGTCTGGTGCTGGTCGAATGAAGTGGCCGGAGGGACGAAGAAGAGCTCTGGCGTGGCTGCCGTTGAAGGCGGTGGAAGCCTGTGAGCACCGAGACCAGAGGCGTGGTTGCCGGTGGCGGATTCATCGTGGTGGCGCAGCAAAACTCCGGCATGAGGTTGAAGGAGCAGGTGACGAAAAACGGGTAGTCGGCGGCAGTGGGAGCGCCGATGGAGGGGACTCCGGCGAGCGAGGGAGGGGATCGATGGAGACGGCGGTCAATGGATGCTGGCAGGCGGGATGATACGGTCGTCTTCTCCGGCGGGTGTGCACTACGACGTAACACGCGTCAGAAACCGCGGTTGCCGGAGAAACCGGAATCCGTCAGAGGAAGTTGAGGTCAGCGGCGTTGTGGCCGGACGCAGGATGGAAGTCGGATGGCGATGTGAGGCCGAGCCAATGGAGGTCGGGCCGCCGGCGTGTTGCTGTGTGTGTGAGTGTGTTTTTGCGTATGTGTGTGCTGTTTGAGAAAGAGAGAGAAAACGGGGTGGGGTGGGGTGGGTGGCGGATTAATGTGGTGGGGGTTTGACACATGAATTAATTGGGTGGGTGAGTGTGTTAGTGCAAGTCTTAATTGCCATACCTCAATTGTTGAGTTACAGATAATGTATCTGTTTGTCCAATATAAATGTCATGTGATGACATTATTTAAAAAAAAAAATACTCACACGAGTCGTGTGACCACTAGTGTGACACCACACGAGTCGTGTGACCACTCGTGTGACTAATGGTTTATTAGAATTTGCTTACGGTTTTTTCACACGGGTCATGTGAAGTGTCACACTAGTCGTGTGATATTAAAAAAAAAAATTGTTTAAGTTTAGATTTAAAAGTTAAATCTAAATTAATTAGATAAACTATTATAAATAGTTAAATCTATTTAATCCCAAAATTAAATCAAGACACAAAATTTGGTAAATTTATATGCTTTTAATTCATGTGATGAATGTTTTTAGCTTATTTATTTAGGGATGATCATAAGCCTTTAATTCAATATGATTGAATGTTTGTAATTTATCGAGACCTGCGAGTCTCTTATTCAATAATTTGTATAATTTTAAATTATTGCATCGAGAGTAGATTATATCAGGTTGAAGGCCGTTCGATGAAAAAGGCCCACGCTTGTGTGGGTAGTTTTATAAGTTGTAAATTTTGAAGGCCTGTGCTTGTACGGGTTGATAAAATAAAATGTAATAGAAGTATTTATTTATTTTATCCCGTATATAGGCAGAGACCCATTTTGGCTCGAATGGGTCGCATAGGCATGGTCCTGATCATCTCATCGCTTTCTGCATATGATGCATGTATGGTTTATTTTTCTAGCATTTCATGTGATGAATGTTGTATTAAATAAACACAAATAACAAATGATGAGATCTTAAAAACCTAAAGGAATTTAATTAGATTAATTCCATATCAAATTATAATGGATAAAAATGGGTTGGACCTATTAATCCATGACTTCCATCAAAATTAGACGACATGACGATGCTACGGTGCCTAGTAACTGACCATGAGTCGTGGGGTGGTTTTGTGCTGAAAGTTGTGATCTCTACTAAGTATTGAGATGCTTGTGAGATGGATTCTTCTTTGTATTGATCACGAGTCGTGGAACACTTTGATACGCCATTATCACGAATGTTTGATGGGTTTTAATTTGACACTCAGTACTATATACGGTCATAAAATTGGGGTATATGAGAAAAGTGAGGCAAAATAAACTTGAAGGTTGTATAGTGATACAATTGTAAAAAATGTTGACTACCAATACAAATATTTCATGCGTACTCATAAAATTGGGATATGGAATATTTTTATTGGGCTTCAAGCCCACTATGAAAATTTGATTTTCAAAATTTTATGGGGTTTAATTAAAATAGTGGGAGTCATTTAATATCAAAGACCTTATATTAAATGAATATATTTTCCATAATTTACTCATTTTCTGCTTCGTTTATTTTGGTAGATCATTCTACTAAAATGGCTAAAAATACAATTGCATGTATTCTTGAGCAAAACAAATTGACCGATAACGAGTGTTTCCATTGTGACAAATTAAGGCACTGGAAGAGGAATTGCAAGAAATATCTTGCAAGCCTGAAGTGTTCAGGTGTTTATTTTGTTGAAAATAACTTATCAGTTAATTATGCTTCTTGGGTATTAGATACCGGCTCTGCCTCACATATTTGCAATGATTTGCATATGATGGCAAGAAGTAGAAAGCTGGACAGTAAGGAAATAGTCCTTAGGGATGGGCAATGGAGCAAGAGTTGTTGCATTTGCTATACGGACTGTTTATCTAGCTTTGAATAATGGTGTAAGTTTAGAATGGAAGTTGTTCCATTTTCAAAGATACTGATATTATATATTTCGGTATTTTAACAAATAGTTTATACATTGTTACACCTCAAAGTCCCATCCTAAATATTCAACAAACTAAAAGAAAGATAGATAATCAAAGTTTGTTTACACTTTGGCATGCTAGATTGAGACATATATCTGAAAAGATAATTCACAAATTGGGACCAAAACTCTACCTTAGGGGAGATGATAAGTTGCCTATATGTGAGTCATGTCTTAAAAGGAAAAATGACAAAATCACCATTTGTTGGACAAAAAGAGCGAGCTAAAGGTCTGTTGAATTTGATTCATACAGATGTTTGTGAACCACTAATTGTTAGTGCGAGAGAGAACTATCACAACTTCATAACCTTTACTGATGATTTTTTTAGGTATGGTTATGTATACCTTTTAAGGTATAGATCTGAAGTCTTTGAAAAGTTCACAGAATTTAGATGTGAGATGGAGAAACAAAGTGCACTTCGATTAGATCGAGGAGATGAATATTTGAACACTGAGTTTCTCGATTATCTAAAGGAGAATGAGATTTTCTCGCAGTGGACTCCTCCTGGTTTTCCACAGGTTAATGGAGTTTCAGAAAGGAGAAATCGTACCTTGTTAGACATGATTCGATCAATGATGAGTTTCACCACTTTACCTCTTTCAATCTGGGGCTGCGCCTTAGAAACTACGACATATCTATTGAATAGGATGTCAATTAAAGTCGTGATTAACACACCTTATGAGATATGTGTGGCAAAACACCTTCATACAAGTATCTCAAAGTATGAGGGTGTGCTGCTTACGTGAAGCGGCAAGTAGGAGATAAGTTGGATATTAGATCCATCTTATGTAAATTTGTGGGGCATCCAAGAGAGTATAGGATACTATTTCTATGACCTCTCTGAACAAAAGGTGTTTGTTTCGAGGAATGCCATTTTCTTAGAAGAAGAGTTTCTTTCTGATTAGAATGGTGAGGTTGTAGAACTTAATGAAGAACAAGAACCCCAAAGTATCCCACAAGTTGTCATGAATAACACACTAGTTGAGACTGGACCTTCTGAAGCACAACCTCTTCAGAAATCTATGAGGATTTCTAGGGTGCCTTAAAGGCTATACCCATTGTTAAAGAACAAAGAGGGACTCCTTTTGGATAATGATCCAATAAGCTATGAAAAGGCAATGTTGGACATTGACTCTATTAAATGGCAAGAAGCTATGCAGTTTGAAATGGATTCCATGTACTCAAACAAGGTATGGACCTTGTTAGACCCACCACAGGGTATTGTACCCATTGGCTGTTGATGGGTTTACAAGCGGTAGCTTGGAGTAAATGGAGAGGTGAAAACTGTTATACTCAGAAAAGTGGTGTTGATTATGAGGAAACTTTTTCACCAGTTGTAATGATTTAAATCCATTTGGACCGTGATAGCCATAGATGCGTATTATGAATACGAGATATGGCAAATGGATGTGAAGACTATTTTTCTTAATGGAAACATTAAGGAGGATATTTATATGAAATAACCACAAGGTTTTATATTCAGTGGGAGCGAGAAAATGGTTTGCAAACTCCAGAAGTTTATTTATGGCCTTAAACAAGCTTCAAGGAGTTTAAACATCCGGTTTGATGAAACGATCAAAACGTTTGATTTTCATAAAAACCCGAATGAACCATTTGTTTATAAGAAGATTAGTGGAAATGCAACAACATTTGTTGTGCTCTATGTTGATGACATTCTACTCATTAGGAATGGTGTAGGAATGTTGCAATCAACAAGGACTTGGTTATTTAAATAGTTTTCTATGAAAGACTTAGGAGAAGCATCTTTTATCCTAGGGATAAATATCTATAGAGATAGATATTGAAACATGATCGGACTATCCCAGTTGATGTACATAAATAAGGTGCTAAAGCGGTTTAGCATGGAGGAATCCAAACGTGGATATCTTCCTATGAGTCATGGTGTTTCACTTTCTAAGATTATGTCTCTAAAGACGTATGAAGAAAGAGAAAGGATGACTCGTATACCTTATGCATAGCTATTGGTAGCATAATGTATGCAATGTTATGTACTGGGCCTGATGTGGCTCATGCACTTAGTGTCATGAGCAGATATCAGTCCAATCCAAGGGAGGAACACTGAAAGGCCGTTAAGATGATCCTTAAGTACTTGAGAAGAACTAAGGATATCTTTTTGGTATACGGCAATGGAGAACTAAAACTAGAAGGCTTTACTGATTCTAGTTTTAAGTCCAATAAGGACGACTCAAAATCAATGTCCGAATACATATTTACCTTGATTAGAACAGTAGTTAGTTGGAAAAGTTCCACACAATAAACGACTACCGATTCTTAATACATTACAGCTTCAGATGCTGCAAAAGAGTTTGTTTGGATAAGGAACTTCATCCAAGGGTTGGGTGTAGTCTCGTCTGTTGTTGATCCAATAATGATTTATTGTGACAACAATTGGGCTATTGTCACGCCCGCTCTTTTATTGCTAAATATTTTCATATTTTGAAAGACGAGTCACATTTTTCTCAAAATAACTTATTAAAAATATTTATTTATCAAAACAACGTGGATAATATCATCTATAAACATACATGAGTAATATTATTTATACATACTGAAAAGAGTCAAAACACTGTTTAGGAAATTTATACATAAGAGTGTATTGGAAGAAAATTTATTCATAACGTAACTCCACTTGCTTGCCCAACAGGTCGTCATCCATGTACACGTCCTCAAAACTTTCTGGATCCAACAACATGGTCAGGCCTTAACATTGTTAATCAGATATCGACATGCTCACCTACAATGCATAAACTACATGAGCTAGAGCTCAATAAGTAAAAGTCATGCAAGTCAAGAAATGACATCGTCAAGTGATATGCGTTACAACATGAAATGCAAATGCTTGTATATGATTCATGTTGTGAAAACATTTCTTTCTGAAAAACATTTCTATATTGGTCCCTTTGACCTTACTGCTAGGCACCGGAAATGAGCTCAATATCATCAATAATCATAACATTCCAGTCCTGGTCGTCTCCCACGCGTTAAAGCAATGGCTCACGGGCACTGGAATGGCTCAGTCCTTACGTCTCACACGCCCTTATGCAATGTCTCACGGGACACTGAGCATAACATAATAATACGTCAAGTCCTTACGTCTCACACGCCCTTATGCAATGTCTCACGGGGCATTTGACCTCGGTGCGTAGCAGCGGCCAATTAATAATAAAATACTTTTTCTTTTCTCATTACGTCGTGCATGCGAGATATTCTTATCTGATTACGACATATGCATACACATGCTCATGAAATATATGCTAGGTCCAATAATAAGGATAAATATCACATATTCCTTAACAATATGAATACACATTAACATTAATTTTATATAAAAATATCAATTAGCATATTAACATTAATTTCACATACAAATATCAATTAGCAACGTCAATACACATTAATTTCACATATAATCACTTTTCACATAGTCACATAATCGAGTATATAAATACTCAGTTTATACATTGTAGGTGAAAATGAACTTTTACTTACCTGAGTCGTTAGATTGACCTTATAAGAAAATGCTTGAAAAATTGACTTCATGTAATATCTCGAACTTTTAAACTTAAGGTTTCCTAATTAAAGGAATCATTTTTATTATTATTATTGTTATTATTTGTGTAAAATTTGTATATATCAAACCTAATAGCTTGAAGCCGTATTTATAGTAACATAAGATGATCCCCTTTGAATTGATTCTTAGGATATTCATGATGTCGTTCAATCCGTTGTCTGTCATTCTACAAGAAAATCAGCTTACTGGTCTTAATTACATTGATTGGAAGAGGAACTTAGACATAGTGTTGACTGCTGAGGGTTATAAGTTTGCTATCACTGATGCTTGCCCGGCGGTGCCGAGGGTTATAAGTTTGCTATCACTTATAGTATGGACTGAAGCAAGCTTCGAGATCTTGAAACATCCGTTTTGATGAGGTGATCCAGTCATACGGGTTCACTCAATGTCCGAATGAGCACTGTGTTTACAAGAAAATCAGTGGGAGCGTGGTGGTGTTTCTTGTGCTTTACGTAGATGACATACTGCTTATTGGAAACAGTAAGAAGGAGTTGTCAGACGTAAAGATGTGGTTGTCTAAGCAGTTTGATATGAAGGACTTTGGTGAAGCAGGACACATTCTTGGTATTAGGCTCATTAGAGTTCGTAAGAAGAGAATGTTATGCTTATCCCAGTCTTCATACATAGATACTGTCTTGGCCAGATTCAACATGCAGGATTCTAAGAAAGGCATGTTACCTTTCAGACATGGAATACCTCTATCTAGCGAGATGTCTCCTAAGACGTCTAAGGAGATAGAGGAGATGAAGACAGTTCCTTATCCTTCGGCAGTAGGAAGTCTCATGTATGCAATGCTATGCACTAGGCCGGATATTAGCTACGCCGTTGGCATGGTAGCTAGATATCAAAGTAATCTAGGACGGGAACATTGGTCTGCGGTGAAGCATATACTCAAGTACCTGAGAAGGACTAAGGAGTACATGTTAGTTTACCGTGCAGGCATCTTGTTACCTCTGGGTTACAGTGATTCCGATTTCAAGTCACATAGGGATGAAAGTAAGTCAACCTCAGGTTATGTGTTTACCTTGGAAAGTGGAGCCATTTCATGGAGGAGTGCTAAGAAGAAATGCGTGGCAGACTCCACCATGGAAGCCGAGTACATAGCAGCCTCAGAGGCAGTTTGGCTCAGGAACTTCTTAGTGGACTTAGAGGTTATACCGAGTTTGCCACGTGGTATCACCGTGTACTGTGATAACAGTGGAGCAGTAGCGAACTCAAAAGAACCTCGAGCCCACAGGGCAAGCAAACACATAAGTGAAAATATCATCTGATTCGGGATATCGTTGGTAGAGGAGACGTTGATGTTGCCAAGATTGCATCAGAGGACAACCTAGCTGATCCTTTCACGAAGAGTTTGCCGGTGAAGGTCTTCGTCAAACACGTGGAAGGAATGGAAGTCAGGAGCATGACAATAGGATCGACATAGGTCTTTTAGAATAACGGATTGATAGGACTATACTGTAAAAGCGAAAGCTTTAAGTATAAGTGGGAGATTGTTGGTGTTATATACTGAAAGCTTGACTTTGCATGTTATTACACATTTGCCCTTTATGAATGAGAATCATGTTAGATTAAACAAGTTCTACGTTCTGTTGTTCTGCACTTAGATAGGGTGGGTCGTCATCGGGTGAACCGAAGATCACTCTATCAGTTACTTGCGAATAAGAATAGTTGTTCACAACCTAGATGGACATGAACACCCCATCCGAACGGTTGTAGTGTCAACTGTACAATTTGTCTTGACTGATCAGTTGCACTATTACATTTATGTATTGAACAGGATCCCAGAGAGGAGAAGTTCATTTTATACTGATCGTCGTAAATGAACTAGGCCTCGGTTAATTACTGCGTTCTCTTAACCCGTAAGATATTAAACAGGCAGATATATATAATATATATTACCTTGATTCACATGGGTGAGGTTCAGTTCGCTGGATTAATATTCCTACTGTTTTGGGTAATATTATTATTTATAGGATGTGCTGTTAGGATATTTACGGTCACCATGTGCGTTAGTTTGATGATGTCCTCGGAGTGACATGAAGGATTGTTATGCTAAACCCTGCAGGTGGATTAAGTTCCGGCATAATAAGAATGTGATGAACGAGCGCTAGCTTCAGTGAAATAATAATAAATTAATTAAATCTTGATTGTTAGTAATTAAATTAATTAATGGACATTATATCTTAAACGTGGGGAGGTAAATCGAGTAATTATTATTGGAGTCTCAAATGTAATTTGGTCTAGGAAAAGGGAGTGCAATAATATAATGTTTGTGGCCCATTAATATTATTTAATTAATTAGAGGAGTGAGCTTGACCCACAGTTAGTGTAATTAATTAAGGAGCCCTTTTCCTAATCTCCTAAGGGTCCCTATTGTAGCTCTATATATACATCATTAATCTCATGAGAAGAGAAGACATCTGTCATTATACAAACACACGCTCCACGCCTCTCTCTCTCTCTAGATCTCGTTCGAGCTTTATCTTCTTCTTGAGTAATACAGTAGAAGATCTGTAGGTAAACCGAGACGAAATATATTTTGACCTACATAACTTACCGAAAGTCCGATTGAGACGTACAGCATACCCAGAAGACTGTCTCGACGGGAGCTTTCCATCGCCGCCGAGATCGCCGGAATTCTACGTCTCACGCGCCCTCACGCGCCGCCGCAAGCTCCCAGGCTGCAAAATTTTGTTTTGATATGTTTGCATCCGTTTGATCCGGTTTTGATCTGATCTTGTTCGTGAAACCCAAGACGTGATTTGCGGTCAATCAATTGCAGTCAACCGTTCGTGGTCAGCCAGATCTACATAAATTTTAAGCCGTAAGTTCTCTACGTCAAACCTTTAGATCCGCTGCGCATAGGTTTACGTTTGCTATTGAATTCGTGATTTGTACATAACGAGATCCTCACAGATCCTAACAATTTTTACAGGTCAAAGGCGTTCAACCAGCGAGGAAGCACGCGGTCAAGCCGATTCTAGCCAGTCGAGGGTCTTTTCGTACCACTATTAATGAGATAACAAGAGGTAAAAAATGCATCATCCTAGGCAGTCGCAGGCAAAAAGGATTAAGCCAATAATAACAAACCCATCTCAACAACTCTATTTTCTTTTATACATTCAATTTTGATACGAGTGTGATGACAAGACAATCTGTGTAGTATTTCATATGAGGAAAGAACTTACTCAATGATCTTAAACTCTTTCCTAATTACATATTTAACTGTTATATTCAATTGATTTTGAGCATGCCTTTTGAATTTAATAAAGGCATTGTAGGCGTCTGACTTGTTTTTGAGAAGGTATAACCATGTGAACCTACAATGGTGATATATGAATAAAGGTAATCGTTTCTTGATTTGACAGGTGAAGGGAACCACAAGTCAGAAAGGAGTTCAAGAGGTTCATTGCACACATTTTCAGAATAAGAATAAGGTAATCTATGACCTTTAGCAAGAAGACATAAAGAACCAGGATCATTATTTCATTCTCTTTATAGAAAACATTACAATCTTTCAAGTCTCTTATTACATTGTCATAAGATGAGTGACCTAATCTTTTATTCTATAACTCTAGATCGCACTTCTTGGAATAAGAAATTGCATAAGTACTAGGCTGAATAAGGTTTGAAGGCTTTAAAATTAATGATTGTCGAGTATCCTTTAGACTGGTGAGGTTGCATTGTAATAGACTAGCTTTAAGAGTTCCCTTGAAAAGTACTGGTGAGTAGAATGATCCTTTACAACACAAGAGTTAGGATGAAACTCAAAATAGACATTATTATCATTACAAATTCTGAGAAACTAGACAAATTGTTTGTGACAAAAGGAAATGGAAGAGTTTATTTAGATTGAAAATTCTAGAAGAATGTGGTGATTTAGGTTGAACAATGCCAATATGAAAAATTTACTCACCAACTCCAATACCAATGTGAAGGTTGTTGGCCCCTTGATACTGTGAAACACTAGAGGGATTGCTTAGATCATTTGAGAGATGGTTTGTAGCACCAGAGTCTAGGTACCAAAGAGATTTAGTGTTCCTTTCTGAGCTCAGACTATGAGAAAGAGGTAACTGAGCCAAATGAAGAGATGGATTAATGGAATTTTGAAAACCACTGCCTTGATTATTAGAAGGCATGTCTTTTTGCTGATCTGAAGGAACATAGTTGGAGTCAAACATATACCAACACTTGTTAGTATAGCCCGTGACTTAACAAACTTGACAAACAATTCTTCTCACTTGAAAATGACCTCATCTTCCTCTAAAACCATATTTATACTTCTCCTTCCTCTAAAACCAAGGGAATTGCCTCTACGTTATCATTGGTTACTGTTACTCCAGTTTGACCTCAAATTTCCTTGAGTTGCAGTGTTTAGTGATGGCTAATACCCATGATAACTCACATTACCACTACCATTGTGATTGCTAACAGCCCCTATCTTGGATTCATAACTGAGCAGCAATGTTGTACATCCATAACAGACCAAGTATCAATTCTAGATGTGATAGTGATCATTGCTGAGTCATACTCACTACCCAAAGATGAAATTATATAAAAGATTTGATCTTTATCATAGTCCTTAGCTTCTACAGATGCTAGAATGTAAAACATCTTTTCATTTTGTTGAGAAACACCCTCATACTCAAATTTTCTTTCTTCATAGATTGAAGTTACAACTTAATCTGCATTTGCTTAGCTAGAGACACACTACTGAAATTTGTAAACAAAGCATGCCATATCTCCTTAGGAAGTTTAGAGACCTACCATTTGAATAAGAAGTCAATCTGATAAAGAAGAACAACCATGATGATAGTATCTGATTTTATCTTTGGTAGGTGATGTACTTTGGGTTCAAGATTTGATCTTCTTGTTGTTGGATGAACAAGGGGGCTCTTGTCCTCCAAGGATGAAATGCTCGAGTTCGTACCCTCTTATGGTGATCAGAGCTTGCTGCTTCCAAATGAGATAGTTGTTTCATCTTACTTTGTGGTTAAAAGTTGGTTTTGAGGGTAAATGATTTGTAGGGAAGACTGGAGAGTTAGGATTAGTTGGTTGTCCCCTATTTCCAGACATTGTTGTGTCTTTGTGAGACATTCATAAAAGAAAGGGAAAGGGTTAACAAACAATAGGTGAAACATCAACAATAGGAAAGCCCTGCTCTGATACCATGAAAGAAAAACTTAAAGAGCTCGAGACAATGGAGAGGTAAAGCTTCCAAAGTGACTGCAAAAGAGAGCTCCATTTCTAGATAATATTCTATTACATTGAACATGCTTAAATAACATGTTTGCTCTAGATAAGATAAGAACAAGATAATACATTGATGAAATGGCATTAATCCTAGTCGTACACGTATTCTGAAGGACAACCAAGATCAAAGGACCAAAGTGAGCCCATGTACAAGCCAAATATGCTAGCCATTGCTTTGTCCTCATGCATGGGAGTGACCTCATGTCCCAATTGTTGTGTGCATTCTTCCAGAACGGTTTAGCTATTTATCTTTGATTTTTGAATTTGGCTAACATTATAAATACCAGAGAAATCTATGTTCCAACTTTTCAACAAGGTAAAAATGCAAATATGAAAACTTGTATTCACAACTCACAAGGCATGGGATACAATGAAAAATTCAAATACACTTAAAATATGCATAATACTCTTAATTCTTAGGTACAATAATCAATCAAGAAGACAACGAAAACTTCACATGGTTAAAACCTTTCCTTTTGGGCATAGGGTCTTCAGAATCTTCATAGTAAGAAAGTTTCATTCAACAAGAACATTTGAGAAAAAAAAATTTAGCTTACCTAAACCTAAGTCATCTAAAACTCTCACGCCCCAAACTAGAAAAATTATATTAAACCCTTATTTTTCGTCGCTACCTCTTCCAGTCGCGCCTTCAGCAGCGCTTCAGCGTCGATCGGACCGAGCGGCTCTCCACGTTTGGCGTCGGCGACCTCTCTCCGTGGTAGAGTCTCACTACATCGGTTGTCTACTCATAGATGGAGGGTTTGGCGGCTGTCGAGGTGTGGGAGTTCGGCTGACTCTGGTCTTCTCCGGTGAGTTGGTCTGGGTGGGATGTGGCCCTCTTCCCCCTGGTTGTTTCCGCTGCCCCTGTGCAGGTTTTGTTAATTTTAGTTGGAGCGGGCAACGTGATTTGGGTGCTGGGTCGAGGGCGACTTTGGGTCAACGGGGTTAGGGGTGGTCTTCTGGTTGCTGTTCTGGGGGTTGCCCAGTCGAGTAAGGAGTTTGGTTCGACGGAGGGTCCAGCTAGCTGCTTGTAGGAGATTTTGGCTTATTTTCTGCGGCTAGATTTCTTTACTTTTGGCGAGTCATCTCCAGGTGTAGGGTCGTCGTTTGTGGGGCTGATTGTGTGCGGTTGGTGGAGGGCTTAATCCTAGTANGTTGCTTTCTAGTTGTAATTATACGTTATTATCTATAAACCCTTTCATTAAAAAAAAAAAACAAAAAGAAACATTTGAGATTTTAATGATATTTCCAAAATCAAGTAAAAATACAAATTTTAAAAAAAATCCAAGATTATGCAAATTAGACTTTAACTTCTTCAAATCTTGGTGCATGTCAGGAATACACACATGGAGTTTGAGTTTTGGCAACTACATCTTTCTTTCCATTACAAATAAAATAATTTAGGAACAACTGATATAAGATTATTCTAATCATACTATTAAATACACATCAAACTATTAAATGGGGTTACTTTTCCTTAGTTCTGTCTTGCTTTCTCTTTCAAATCTTGCTTCCTCTTTCAAGAAAATCCAAAAGGAAATGTTGGAAGTTTGTTGAACAATGTCAATTAGTTCATAAATAATGCAAAGTCTCGTAAAAAATAGAGGAAAATCTTGCTTCTTCTTTCAAGAAAATCCAAAAGGAAGGTTGGAAGTCTATTGAACAATGTCAATTAGTTCATCATAACATGAATAAAGCAAAGTCTCATGAAAAAATAGAGGAAAATGTTAATAGAGAGACTAGAGAATCTAGAATTATCTCGTCAAGCCTTTGGACAAATATCACACTAGTTTTTGTTTGGTCCAAAGACTAAAAACACCAACACAACGAGGGATTCACATGTGATGATTTTTGTATTATGAATTCACATATAGATAAATAAATACACTTAAATAGTGAATATATAGACGATACAATTACGATCATGCCTATCCTATTTTAGCATTTAATAAGGAATGATATCATGGATATTAACAAGAATAGATGTATTTCTGGGGATATGAGGTTCAAGGAGGAAAGGTTAGGATTATCTGTATTTTTGCTTTGGCACCTATGGAAAGCTAGAAATAAGTGGTTGTATAAGGGTGACTGGATACATGAGAAAGTCATTGTGGAAGAAGCTAAGGCAGAGTGGCAGGAGTGGCTTGATCAGACTAAGTATTTTTGTGATAACAGAGACAGTACACAATTACCCTCTACATCTCATCAAGATAGATTTTCCTTGGAAGTAGGTCAGTCCTTTTGGACTCTCAGTGCTTCATTATCTGATGAAGGGAAGGTGATAGTGGACTGCACTTTGGAACAGAAGGATGAACCTCAGCTCAAGTGGACTAGTGTGTTACAAGGAGCTACAACACAGGTTGAAGCTTGGGTCATGGCTATTAGGTGGTGTTTAATTAGAGCCAAAGATCAGAACTGGAAGCACTTTACAATTCTTGTTCAGTCAGAGGAAGTGGTGGATGACATCATAGAAGTCTGTTGAACATTAATGAAGTAAATCAGGAGCTGTTAGATATTAGAAACCTTCTGTTTCATTGTGAGGCTATTGTTGACACTATATTTTAGATTGTTGGTGTTATTGTGTTATTTAGATTGTGGCAAGGCTGCCGATTAGGGGGTGGATTACCATGCCTCATAATTTTGTAATCAGTAGATTACCCTGTACATTGTATTAAATNNNNAGATGTATTTGACCCATCATCTAATCATTATATTAATCAATTCATACACAAAAGCACATTAACCAATTTCATTTTTTATTTTTTATTTTTTTTTGCAAGTAGCACATTAACCAATTTAACACAAAATCTAGGTGAGACCCTGAGAGTCAATTAACATCCCCTATGTTTAGAAGGGATTAATAGCTCATGATCTGAAATGAACATAGCTTATTTTGTACAATTAAAAAACTTATAGTGTATGCTAAGCTGCTGGCATTCACATTATTATGTCAAATTTCCCACAATTTAGAAATAGACTCCAAAATCGTGCACATGATCTATAGCGCATGTATCTAATTTATGAGTAGATGTGGTACGTAGGGTTTCCGTTATCCAAATATTATGTAATGTATATTAGTGCGTAAAAATTGTTCTCAGATAAATTTCTAATAATTCTAAACTTCGATCTGGTTTACAAATGACATTTAGTGTTGATTAAACACATACTGAATATGCATAATACACAAGTCTCGGCTTATTCGCATTTATTTAAAAAAAAAAAAAATAGTTTTTTAAATAACTTGGAAATTAAATCTGCATCATCAATGAACTGCAGCCGGTTAACTTTGTATAACAAAACCCACGAACAATGATGACCCGACCCGTTGACTACCACTCAAAATTCGACAATAGCAGATGCATTAAAATTGGCTACTTTTTATCATGCCTTGATGTGACGCTACTGTATACGTTTACTAAATTGCCATTTTGCTACAAGAAAAATCTAACGACAGCTGATTAGTTAATTAAGTGTCATTAACCCTAATAAGCTTAAAAATTAGATTAAACCCACACATAAGTGTGTGTGTGTGAAAGAGAGAAAGAGGAAGGGGCCAAAATAAAGACGGAAAGGGGACATTCTGACACGCATAAATAAATAAATAAATAAATACACACAATAAAAAGTGCCATAATGTTGTGCTGTGGACCATCATCATATCATATATATATGAATCACTTTTCTATCTCTTTAATTTTTTCTGGTAAAGTATTCTCTCTCCAGTTAAATGGTGGTGATGTTTTTGTTTTTTGAGGTATTTGACTTAATAAGACGTGGATTAAATTTAAACCTGTTTAGCTTCATTCATGCACCTTTTTCTAACTGCATCCTTATCTGCTTAAGATCCCACATTTAACGATTAGCAGCAATCTTAGTTATGTCCCATCATATCATCACCATTTGACATAATTAGGGTTTAGAGACAAGACGTAACCCAGACAAATTATTAAACTGTTGATTAGTTGGAGAGAGAGAAGAAGCTTGAGAAATAGTGGTAATAAAGAGGGGCAGTATTGGCAATAAGCAATAATAATGAGACAGAGGACCATTGTGCAGGCTGAGGAAGAGAAGCAACTTTAGCTTGTCGGTTGTTTTCGTGAGTGAATATATCTCACTCTCATTTTATAGTATTCATTAACCCTTCTTAACTTTTTTTGAATAATTTAATCATCCATTTTCCTTGAATCAGTGCTGGTATTTTCCTTTTTTCCTTTTATTATTATTATTATTATTTGGTTACGTCTTTACATATAACTGTGCGTGAAGCTTCATTCGCTAGCTGTGACGGTGGTGGACTGACTGACATTTTCTGTGTCGTCTTGTCGAGGTAATTAAATTATATTATTATTATTTTGTGCATTTTAGTTTTAATTAATTTGCTGCCTGAAGGGGGGCCCTTGCAAGAGTCTTAATATTATGTAATTAATGAGTACTATATATATTGTTGACGCTTCTTTATATTTTTCACCTGGGTAGCTAGATGGATCCAGCTTCATTTTATGTATTAATAATGGCTAATCAAAAGTTTGTGATATGTTGGAATGTTGTGGTGTTTTGAATAATCATGTATTTACGATATGAGATTTTGGAGATTTAGGTGGTGAGAGAAGCAAAAAAGTGAATTTTCATCATTTTAGTAAATTATTATCTTGTCCGGGAAGCTATATGGATAGAAGAGGTCAACCGGAATTGGGGAATAATCCAATGGGGTACACCCCACCGCAAGAAACTGCGCCGGCGAAATTGCCGCTGGCCCCTATACTCTCGACTCCACCTTCCGACCACCGGAGACCCAGCCCAGTATTCTCAACCCGCCGTGGAAGCTCCATTTTCAGCCCAACCCAAACCCTAGATCTCCCCTTCACCCCGCCGCCGCGCCACCACAACCACCACCGCCAGTCTAGCCCTCCGCCGCCGCCGCCGCCGCCGCCGCAACAGCAGAGCGACGGCGGCTCCCCAGATCCAGATCTAGATCCGAACCCAAAAGATCCGGCCGTTCCTCCCCCGCCGGCCGTCGTATATAAGGAGTGCCTGAAGAACCACGCGGCCAGCATGGGGGCGCACGTCATCGACGGGTGCGGCGAGTTCATGCCCGGCGGCCAGGACGGCACGCCGGAGGCCCTCCGCTGCGCCGCCTGCGACTGCCACCGCAACTTCCACCGGAAAGAGCCCGACAGCGAGAACCACCACCACCCCGGCGCCGCCAACAACAGCAGTAGCAGCCACCGCCGGATTACTCCAACCTCGGCGCCTCCTCCACACCTCAGTCCCCACTACACCATGGTCAGCTTCGGCGGCGGGGACTCGTCCAGTGAGGATCTCGACGCGTTTCAGGCCGGCGGCGCCGGCCACACGGGGGCGGCGGCGGCGTCGTCGGTTTCGAAGAAGAGGTTCAGGACGAAATTCAAGCAGGAGCAGAAGCAGCGTATGCACGAGTTTGCCACAAAACTCGGGTGGAAGATTCAGAAGCAAGACGAGGACGAAGTGCAGCAGTTTTGCAGCCAAATTGGGGTTCAAAGACAGGTGTTTAAGGTTTGGATGCACAACAATAAACAAGCCATCAAGAAACAGAGAGAGATAGATCTGAGTAGCCATAAATAAATAGGACTAATTTTTAATTTGTGAAAAACCGCATTTTCAATCTTCCACAACTAGCTTTCTCTAGCGTTGTATCATNATTAATGATCTCGATTCATTGCCCTAATAACTAATTTCATCTTTTCAAGATTTCTTACAATTTACAAATTTTAGGCTAACTATGTTACGTATGACCTCAATTTCAAGTCCCTACCAATATCGAATTATTTCACCACCTTTAATTTATTAAATCCATGTATGGGTTATAAAAAATTTCAACAAAATATGCCAACATTTATAGACTTTGTACTTTTCAGATCATATTGAATAGGTTTATCACATGAAACACGGCATTCAATGACGTGTTAAATTCAAAACAAAGAGCCATAGTGCAAAATTTGCAAGCATGTAAAATATTGTAATATCATCTGCCCGCAATTAGGGGATAGCTTTCTTTATCGAGTTGTGTTTTTGTGCCTTCTTTCTGTATTTGAAGTAGTTGGGATTGTGTAATGTACTCGGAATACTTCTTTTTAAGAAACAAACAGATATTTGAAAGGGCAAATATTTTCAGAATTGATGTCCTTCCCTACTTTCTTTGATAAGTTCCTCTATAGTCATATTTATTTTCTAAACGATCAAATTAATTCCGTGGATATATGTATGTATGTATATATCTGCACGGCTAGTACATGTATACCTTTATTGCAATTAATGTCGTGGGCAGCGGGCACGACAAAATCATTGAATGCCTTCAACAATGAGCAACTGGGAATTCAATTCATGGTCAAAACTATTTAATTGCATTGAGTACAGGTTTTGTCTGTCTATGAAGTTCATGGGAACAGCTGATAGCACAAAATAAATAAAAAATAATAAATAATAATATTAAAAAAATAAAATTCAAAGCTAGTCTGTACGTGCATCACAAATAATTTTTTCTGAAATGAATAAAAGTTTATAGCTTTAAAAATTAGGGAATGACTAGACGACGGAATTATTTCGTCAGTGCTTTTAATCGTAGATTATCTACTTACACTAATTTACATGTGTATCTAACGGTTAAAACACTGACGGAATGATTATGTAGCGAGACTGTAGTCATGATATTGATTTGAAATTTTTATGAGTATGTCTTGCATGGGTTGTGATTATGCCTGTCAATTTTCAGCTTCATATGTTAAGTTTAGAAGTTTAGAGAAATCTTTGAAGCTGAAGGTGTCAATATCATGTTTTTATGTATAGTTGGCTTCAGAATGGACCAACCTAATGATATGCTTTTGACCTGAAATTTTAACTGGTAATACTTGAACATGTTGACCATTAAACTACTAAGAACATGTTTGTTTATAAGATTTTTTGAAAAAAATTTCAACATTTTAACTCAACCACTTTTTTAACTCAATTTTAACTCAACTCCATTATCATCAATATTATCAATATAAATAAATAATATTAATCAATCAATCATACACACTACATCAACCTTAATTTACTATTCATCCACTCACATTATTTTAACTAACTATCACTTCAAATCATCTCTCTCATACTTTTACATCAAATCAATTTTAATTATTTTATTTTAATATTATTTTAAATATTATTTTAAGACCAGTTGAGTTAGCAGTTGGGAAGAAAGTTATCATAAGCTCTTAAGTTAGCTAACTTAAGTTGGGATCAGAAGAGAAAAAGCAGTTTCAGTAAAGTTAAGAACTAGTAGAATAGTTAGAAATGTATGTACTTTATTTGTTTACAACTGTCTTAATTGCATTAATTGCCTTGGTTGCCTTATCTGTCTTACGTGTCGTCTGCTATCACCATTAATAATAAGATAAAAATTAATAACTGTAGATTAACGAGGAGTCGAGCTGTTGAGAATATTGGTCAACAGAGTCAACCAGCTACCATGTCAGCTTCTAACTCAAGTTCTCCCTCCACATCATCTTGCTAACGTGGAGAAAAGGACATGCAGTCCATGCATGGAAGTTAGGAGACAAACCTGCCATATAGCCGTTGTTTGTACTGCATTGCTTTTTGCTTTTGTAGTCCTTTTTCCAGCTCATTATTGTACCATGTAAACCTTATCCTCTCATCTAGTTTGGCCTATATATAAGGTTGATAATCTCCATTGAGCATTGGAACGGTGAACAAGTTTCAATATCAAGAACATCAAGAATATTTACTTCTCTTTTCGATTTGTGTTTTTCAAACCATGATATGTTTTGAATCCAACATGGTATAAGAGCAGGGATAACCTGCTTTGTACCTTAGGTTAAATCATGGCTTCATCTTCCTCTGCTCTCTCTCAGAATCTATCCACTACAGCTCAACCTATACAGTTGCAGAACCAACTCATCACCCTCAAACTTACAGATGAAAATCATTTGATTTGGAGGCAACAAATCCTTACCACTGTCAGGGGGTTTGGCCTTGAAGGCTATCTAGATGGATCTGCAGAGATTCCCACCAGATTTATACCCGGAGAAGAAGAAGGGTTATTGCAGGTGAATCCACAGTTCATTTCTTGGCAAAGACAAGACCAACTCCTTGCATCATGGATTTTGTCCTCTCTCTCAGAATCCATTCTCATCTCAGTGGTTGGCATGAGCAGCTCATCTCAGATCTGGAAAAGCTTAGAAGCCAGCTTCTCCACACAGTCAAAGGCCAGATCTATGCACTATAGGATCCAACTGCAAAACCTCAAAAAGGGAACTTTGAGATAAGGGAATATGTGAACAAAGTGAAGATGTGCTGTGACACCTTGGCTGCAGGAGGTCACAAGATAACAGAAGAGGATCAAATCATGCATGTGTTGAGTGGTCTTGGGTCAGATTATGATGCTGTAGTGGTGAACATAAATGCTAGACCAGATCAACTTACTATGATAGATGTTCTCTCTCTCCTGCTCACATATGAAAGCAGACTGCAAGCAGCTGCCTCTAGCAATGAGTCCTCAGCACTTCCTAGTGCAAACATTGCTGTTCAGCAGAACAAACCCTTCTCACACAACTACCCTTCAAGAGGAAGAGGAAATCAGCAAGGGTATAGAGGAAGAGGAAGATCCAACAGAGGAAGAGGAGGCAGGAATTTTGGAAATAGAGTGCAGTGCCAAATCTGTGGTTACACTAACCACACAGCTGACAAATGCTACAATAGATTCAATCCAGATTTTGTGTCTCAAAACCAGCAGCAACAGCAAAGAGGATTCAATGACAACAAAAGCTTGAGCCAATCTTCAGTCATGTATGCCTCAAAGGAATCTAACAGTGAGAATGAATGGTTTTCAGACTCTGGTGCTTCACACCATGTGACTAATGACTTCAACAATCTCAATATTGCTTCTGAGTATGGAGGGCCCGACAAGCTGCAGATTGGAAATGGCTCTGGCTTGGATATCTCTCATGTGGGTAAAGCATCCTTAATTGCTAACACCCCTCAGCATAATTCCCAACACATTTTTAAACTCTCAAATCTCTTGCATGTTCCTAATATTGCAAAGAATCTTATAAGTGTGGCTCAGTTTGCTAGAGACAATAATGTTTACTTTGAGTTCTTTCCTTCTTTCTGTGTTGTGAAGGATCAAACTTCAGGAGTGGAACTCCTCAAAGGGAGACTTAAAGATGGCCTTTATTCATTCAAGCTCAATAGGGTGTCTAATGAAAGTCAAGATAGGAAAAGCTTCAAGACTGGAAAGTTTAAGTCTGTTAGGGGTCATGTTTATGTTGCTTGTTCAGTTAAGTCTTTAGATGTTTAGCATAGAAGGCTAGGTCATCCTTCTCATGAAGTGACTGTGAAAGCTTTGAATGATTGTAATCAGTCCTATGTCAACAGCAATAAAACTTTTTGTTCTGATTGTGTGCAAGCTAAGTCCCACAGACTTCCCTTTTCTTCTTCTTCTCATGATACTAAACAACCATTAGAACTCATTCACACAGACTTATGGGGACCAACACCTTTAAAATCAAATTCAGTATCCTTTTACTATGTGGCCTTTATTGATGACTTTACCAAATTTACTTGAATCTACTTCCTTAAACAAAAATCAGACACCATAACAGCCTTTAAAGAATTCAAAAGCCTTGTGGAAAACCAATTAAACCTGAAAATTAAAATGGTGCAAAGTGATGGAGGAACAGAATTTAAACCATTGACTAACCTCTTTTCTGAAAATGGAATCATCCACAGAATGTCATGTCCTTACACACCCCAACAGAATGGTCTTGTGGAAAGAAAACACAGACACATCATAGAGGTAGCTCTTAGCTTGTTGTCTCAATCTGGTGTTCCTAAAAGGTTTTGGGAAGAAGCCTTTAGCACAGCCATATATCTGATAAACAGAATTCCCAATAAGACCATCAACTACAGTTCACTTTTTTCTCTCCTTTTCCAAAGGAAACCAACATATAGTCACTTAAGAACCTTTGGTTGTGCAGCTAATCCTCACATGAGGTCTTATAACAAGGACAAACTTGATTTGAGATCTCAACAAAGGGTGTTTTTGGGGTACCATCATCAGTTTAAAGGGTACAGAATTCTTCTCAAAGGGGGAAAGGTCATAATGTCAAGAGATGTGATTTTTAATGAGGAGTGTTTTCCTTTTCTTTTGAAGCAAACTGAGCCTACATTTACTGATACTTTGCACAATATATTGCATGTTTTTCCACCTGTCATACAAGCACCTCACACTAATCTTCCACATCCTCATCTCACTCCATCACAAACACCACCTACACCTCAACAATCATCCACACCAACACCAACACCTGATTCCCCTTCTTCATCCTCAAACAACACCAACCATACAACCACACCTCATCAAAATCCTACCTCACCTAATGAAAACTCCAACACCAGAATACCAACTCCTATACAGACAGCCCCAACTCAACATCACATGGTGACCAGATCCAAAAGAGGGATCTTCAAGCCAAAGGCCTACTCCAGTCTTCTCAACTCCAATGATCCAACAGATCATGTAGAAGCCATGAATTCTACACAATGGAATCAGGCCATGATAACAG